AACTAAAATGGGTCCTCAAAGAAGGTTGGGAATATATGTTGGGTATGAATCTCCATCTATAATAAAATATCTTGAACCATTAATAGGAGATTTATTTACGGCTAGGTTTGTCGATTGCCATTTTAATGAGTTGATTTTCCCAACATTAGGGGGAGAACAAAAATAGTTGGAAAAAGATATTAGTTGGAATGAATTATCACTATCTCATCTTGATCCTCATACAAAACAATGTAAACTAGAAGTTCAAAAGATAATTCATTTGCAAAATCTAGCCAACCAATTACCAAATGTATTCACAGATCCAAAAAGGGTGACTAAGTCATATGTACCAGCGGCTAATGCTCCAATAAGAGTCGAAGTCCCTGTTGGACAATTTAATACTACAAACGAGTTACAAATACGCCTGAAGCGTGGTAGACCAATTGGTTCCAAGGATAAGAATCCTCGAATAAAAAAGGGAGCTAAAGAGCAAAATGACCAAATTGAGGATGTAAAAACTCAAAAAGATTCCTCTGACATAACTAATATTCCAGTTCTAGAAGAAACTCAGGTACCTGAAATTATTGAAAATGAAGAGATCTCAATAAATTATGTCATGAATGGAATACGATGGAATCGAAACAATGTCAATATTGATGACGTGTTTGCATATAATATAGCGCTAAATGAAATAAATGATATTGAGGATCAAGAACCAAAGTCCATCAACGATTGTCGACAAAGAAATGATTGGCCAAAATGGAAAGATGCAATTGAGGCAGAATTAGACTCGCTTGCTAAGCGAAAAGTTTTTGGACCAGTACTACGTACACCAAAAGGTGTAAAACCAATTGGATACAAATGGGTTTTTGTGCAAAAACGAAATGAAAATGGTGAAATTGTGAGATACAAAGCAAGACTAGTTGCTCAAGGTTTTTCACAAAGACCCGGTATTGATTTTGAAGAGACATATTCACCTGTAGTGGATGCAAACACTTTTCGATATTTAATTAGTTTGGTTGTACATGAAAAACTTAATTTACATCTAATGGATGTAGTTACAACATATTTATATGGCTCTCTTGATGCTGACATTTATATGAAACTCCCAGAAGGATTTAATTTGCCTGACGATGCAATTTCTAGAGAAGATTATTCGATTAAATTAAATAAGTCCCTATATGGGCTAAAGCAATCAGGTCGTATGTGGTATAATCGACTAAGTGAATACTTGTTACAAGAAGGATATAAAAATGATCCAATTTGTCCGTGTATATTTATAAAAAGATCTGAAAATGGATTTGCCATAATTGTAGTTTATGTAGATGACATAAACATTATTGGAACTCCTGAAGAGCTTTCAAAAGCAATAGATTGCTTAAAGAAAGAATTTGAAATGAAGGATCTAGGAAGGACAAAGTTTTGTCTAGGATTGCAAGTTGAATACTTAGAAAATGGAATTCTTGTGCATCAAGAAGCTTATATAACAAAGGTGCTTAAAAGGTTTTATATGGACAAATCACATCCATTGTGCACTCCCATGGTTGTAAGATCTTTAGATGTTAATAAAGATCCATTTAGACCCCAAGAAAAGGATGAAGAAATACTTGGTCCTGAAGTACCATATCTTAGTGCTATAGGAGCACTAATGTACCTTGCTAATTATACACGACCTGATATAGCGTTTGCTGTTAATTTGTTAGCAAGATATAGTTCTTCACCTACACGAAGACATTGGAATGGAGTTAAACAAATACTTCGTTATCTTAGAGGTACAATGGATATGGGGTTATTATATTCAAATGTTTCCAAACCAGAACTAAATGGTTATGCAGACGCAGGTTATTTGTCGGATCCTCATAATGGTAAATCACAAACAGGATATTTGTTTACAAGTGGTGGTACAGCCATTTCATGGCGATCTGTAAAACAAACCATATCAGTCACTTCATCTAATCATGCTGAAATTTTAGCATTACATGAGGCAAGTCGTGAATGTGTTTGGCTAAGATCTGTGATTCAACACATACGGGAAACTTGTGGTTTATCTTCTGGAAAAATGACATCGACAGTTATATATGAAGATAATGCTGCATGTATTGCACAATTGAAAGATGGATACATAAAGGGAGATAGAACAAAGCATATTCTACCAAAATTCTTTTTTACTCATGATCTTCAAAGGAATGGTGATATAAATGTTCAACAAGTCCGCTCAAGTGACAACTTAGCAGATCTCTTTACAAAGTCACTTCCAAGAAAAGTTTTTGAACAGTTGATACACAAGATTGGACTCCGTCGTCTTAAAGATTGTATGCATGAGGGGGAGAAATAAATATTTATGAATGATGTACTCTTTTTCCTTCACTAGGTTTTTATCCCACAGGGTTTTCCTAGTAAGGTTTTAACGAGGCACATTCTAAATATTGGACATCCAAGGGGGAGTGTTATGAATAATAATTAGTGGCTTAATTAGTGGATGCCAATATTCATTATCAATCATTACCATTTATATTTCCATTATGTATTATTTCCTTTATTGTGTAATTGTTCAGTTACCACATGTACTTATAAATAGGTTAGTCCTCTCCCAAAGATAATACACCAGTCAGATTCTTTTCTCCATCTTATACTATCTTGTTTCTTCTCTCTAGTTTTTCTTCCTTTTATAACATCATTCATATACTTTCAACTTCTATAACAACATCATCCATCTCATTCACAAACACACACATATAAATGTAATGTAAAGTGCACCTATATCTAAATGCATCGGGTACCTGGCCATCATCATCATCATCATAAATATATAGTTGTTACCTAAGTCCTAAGTTAATCTTAGGCTACCAACATACTAGTGTTCCCACCAGAACACTAACATTAGTTTCCCACTAGAACCTCAACATCAAGTTCCCACCAGAACCTCAGATATCCAAGTATGATGCATGTCCCCATCATGCAAATGCTTCTATACTATGATATCATGTTCATCGTTTAAATCATCATTCACCAACATCTATATCAATCAACATCAAGTTTATCTATCAACATGAAAATGATCTATCACAAGGTATGTACGTCATTCATCATCATGTCATCCATTGTTTGTCAAACAATCCTAAACACAAACATCATAAAATATCATTTGGCATATCAAAATACGCTTCCTGTACTCAAATCCCTAAAATGCAAAAAAATACAGCCATCATTCAAATCTCTTATATAAACCAAAAAATAATTTTCCCTCTATAATAATTAATTTCGTCGTCCATCATAATTCTTTTAATCGAACATCTAAGAATCGTTTCCATCTAATTCGTCAAACACTCCCCCTTAAGATTTTAACCCCCTCATACAAAGCACTCAATTAATTATTTAAAAAATACTTGATTGTTGACTAAATTACATATTTGGAATCTACACACCAAACCACATCAAACGCATATCAAATTTTGTCCAACAGAAAACTTATGGGATTGGGGCCAATCCCTCTAGGGTTCTAACCTTTTTCTACAAAGCACTCAATTAATTACTCTAAAACATATGATCATCAAATTAATTACATATTCCAAATCTACTCATCGAATCACATCAAATGCAAATTAAATTTTGTATAACAGAAATCTTATGGGATTGGGGCAAATCCCTTTACCCTTCATGCATACACCCAAATCCTAAGAATAAGTATTCTCACTCCCCGCTTACCTAGACTGATGCAAAAATATTCTACCTACGCTTTTGGCTCCTTTCCGGTGTTTCCTCCTCCTTGTTCTCATGATGCGTCCTATTCAGAGCACCCGAGCGTCAAAAAACATGAAATATGAATAATAAATAATAATAATTCTTGTCTCTTCTCTTCTAATATATAATATAATAATACATTATTTCTCTAAAACTCCTCTATTCTCTTAATAATATCCTATTCTCCTCTTAATAACTAAATCTATTAAAATGTATAAAATAATAATCATTAATCGCAACTTAAAATAAAATCATCCCCATTTCCCCTAATTAATAATTATAAAAAATTAGAAAAATCTTAGGGTGTTACATAAAACATTTTTGGTATAAAGTCTAAATATACTTACTTTATGTTTCTAAGTTTGAAATTGTTATTATTAAAGTAAATTAGTTTTTAAAATCCCTTACATATCATTTTTCTCTCATTTTAACCAAACAAACTCTTTGATAACTACACATTAAGTTATCGACATTCTTCTAAAAGCTTATCATCGACATTCCTCTTGATATTTTTTGCAATATATAATGCTCTCATCTTCATCACCTACCCAAACTCAATGATGAAGGCCTTGATGTTCTCATTTTGTCATTAACAATGACATCAATCATATAATGCATGAGTACAATAGTCTCTATAGCTCTAACTTAAAATTTGTTTGGATGAAACTCTTCCTCTTCACACTTTCCACAAAACTCTAATATGTCTTTCTCCTCCGATTTTATCACTTTATTGAAGCTCTTAACTTGAGTCTCATCACTCCTCAACTCGACTTAGTAAAAAACATGTATCAAGTGGTTCGCCTATGCACTAGCTACAGTAATTAAAATTTTAAAATAATATTTATTCATTATAGTATTATTTATTATTTAAAAAATAACATATCAAAATAATATTTATTTACTGTCATAATTTATTTATAATTTGATATTTTTAGATAAATTTAATTAACTTATTAAAAATGCTTTTCACTATACTATAACAACTACATTAAAATATATTCAAATATTTTTTATTATTTTACTTTTAAATTTTTAATTAATTTATTAAAAAAAATTGTCACTATAGCGCTACTGTAGCTGGTGCACATATGAACCACATGATACATGGGTTCACCGTAGCCAACGCCCTCATCTTCGTCACCAACACTTTGACGAAGGTCTTGACGTTCTCATTCAGTCACAAACAACGACCTCAAACACATAATGTCCAAACATCTATAGCTCTGCTAACTTTAAATTTGTTAGGATGTTACTCTTCCTCTTCACACTTTTCACAAAACTCTAATTCCTTTTTCTCCTCCAATTGTGATCGTTTCATTTGAGGTTCTCAACTCGAGTTTAATCACTCCTTAACTCGACCTGATAAAAAGACCTGCTTATTCCACCTTCCAATATTTATTACCTATTTGGTCTCGATAATGTTGTTGCTCCTCTGCTTCATGCTCATTCCTTTGCCACCAATAAGTTCCAAAATCTCATGTTAGAGTATCAATCTTGTGACAAATTTTTCGATTAGCTTGTCGAATCACATCAAAGTGTGAACTCAATTAGAATTCAAAGAAAGTTACGACAAGAATGCAATCTTTGCAAATCGTAAGAGTAAAGATAAACTAACTTTATCAATAAGCTGGACAAGAGAACTGGACTGGTACATGTTTTTACTCCATGACTTTTTTTTTTTGGCCATTTCTTGCTTTTACATCACATCCTTTTCTTTTTTTTTTTCTTTTTTTTTTTTTTTTTTATATAAAGAAAGAAGATGTTAAGTTACCCATGAATTTACAATTATGTTAGAACTTTTTTGGTCATGACTAATAGACGAAGTTCTTGATATACTTTTTTGTAACAACAAAAATGATTTGACTTTTGAAAATTTATTTTAATGAGTTTAAAGGTTCTATAAATAAAAATAAATAAAAATAAAAAATAAAAAATAAACACGGTAGATTTGATAGAAATTAATTTAAATTTCAACTTAACGATCAATAACAAATCCTTTTTATATTATACGGATAATTATAATTTCAAATAATATGTATAAATTAAAGTAAATTAAAATGATAATAAATAGTTTTATTGTTGATAATGAATATTTTATTCTATTAAAAGAAATAGATATGTAAAATTAAAAAATATAAAAATGATCTCATTTGAATCTAAGACAATATATTTAATGATATGATGTATCAAACTTTAAAATTTAAAATTAAAATTATAATAATCTTAAAATTTAGTTTATTTCGAAAAAAAAATACTATGTTTGTAATTTGATAATGTATTAAGACTTGAAACAAAAACAAAAAGTACCAAGTTCAAATTGATTAAATTTAAATAATAATATTTAAAAGAAATAAAAAATTATAAATAAAAAAATAAAATATTTGACACAAGAAAAACTTAAAGAGAATTTTAGTTTTTATAAAATGAGTAACTTTTAAATTTCATCTTTATAACTTTTTTTTTTATTATTTTTGTTCATGTAAAATATGATATCACTTACTTTTAGTTCTTATTATGATGTGACTTTGTTAACTATTTATGTATATTAAAAAGTTAAGTGCCAATCTCATAAGAGATAGTAACAAATGGATGGATTGAATGAATTTTTAGGCGAATCATAATAGATTGGATAAAAATAATTCATTAACCAATTTAGATCCATTAAAAATTTACATAAAAATTCAATCTATCCAATCCATTTAAAACAAAAAAAAAATCATCTAATTCATCTATTAAACAAGTGGCCTCAGATAACTTAAGACAGGGGTTGAATTAAGTTATTCAAAATTTTCTCCTATTACTTTTTAATATCTCTTACCATGAACAAAAATACTTAGAATGATTTTAAGTTGAAAGTGTATATGCAAAATGTTTATCTCTTTAAGATATTAACTTAACAATCAACAAGTAAAAGGATGGGGAAGAGAAATTGCAAACTCAATTTTATACTAGTTCAATCAACCATTGCCTACGTCTAGTCCTCAAGTCACCCACTTGAGATTTCCACTATCTTTGTAAATTCTTTACAATAGATGAGCACTCAAACACCTTGGAATCCCTTTCCTTTGTGTTGAGTTCCAGTCACAGTCAAGAGAAACACTCTCTCTTGATTACAACATATGAATTAAAGATTGTTCACAGGAAAAACTCTCCAAAAGAGTAGATGAAATAAATTTAAGATCCTATAAGAACTTTTAAAGATTTTTGCAAGTGTTTGGCCAAAATAAAATGTTTTCAATAATATTTTCACATGTCAAAAATTGTCTCTTTATGTTTTTGAAGAGATATATTTATATAAGAAAATCAATCTTGCTTTATGTCTCTTCATGAAGAGTTGTAACTTTTAAAAAATTCTTCTGAAAAATCATGCTGGTAATCGATTATAATGGATTGGTAATCAATTACAACAATTAAATTTTAAAATATGATACAATCGTTGAAGATTTTGATTTCAATTTTAAATCTTCTTATTGTTGGTAATCGATTACCAGACCTAAAAATATGTATTCTAACTTTTTAACATTTGATTAAAAACATTAAAAAAAAAACTTAACAAGGCCAATTCAACTTTGCAAAACTTAAAGGTTCCTTTAACAAAGATCTAAGTTGATCAAGACTTAACTAATAACACTTATAATCTTGTACTTGAATCAATCTTGCTTCAACTCAATCTTTGTGATGTTTTCCTTTCTCTTAGCATCATTAAAACCTGTATTCATCACATTAACATCATCCATTAATAATTTTTTCGTGGATAGATATCCAATCCATCCATAAACATAATTTTTTAAAAATTAAAAAAAAATTCTAAAATATTTTATTTATCTCTCTTTTCTTTATAAGTCATTACATTCTTATATAGTCTTCTAAAATTCATTAAACATTTTTTTATGTTAAAATAGTCTTTTAAAATTTCAATATAGCAAACATCTCGTATTTAATCTAATGGATTTTGAAAAAATAGTGGATGAACCACTAACCATCTATAAAATTAAATAGAATGATTAAACCCAATCCATTATTTATTTTTATTGTAATAGATAAATGAATAAATTTACTCTTGGATGGATTAAATGAATAATAGTTAAATGAATTCATTTGTTACCCCTACGTGATACATATAATTGTTTTTATAACATGCCAATATTTATGTGAAATATATAATTCAAATGTTTCTAGAATAATGCATATAAATACAAGTTGTATATATGTTTCAAATAGAAAAACTCGTTTTGTAATATACTTTTGTTCTCTCCATATATTGTTTGTTTCTTCCTAATAAATATGTGACACCTCTAAATATTTTTATATTTTAAAAAAAAAATTATATATTTAAATTAAAATAAATATTAGGGATAGAAACAGTGACTTTAGATTTAAAAGATGAAAATCAAAGAATTTTTTTGTACTAGAACTAAATTTTTTTTTTATCATTTTACATAGACAAAAAATACTGATACTAAATTTTAGATGAATAAAAATAAATACAAGTTTTTAAAATAATTGTTCATTTTATGAGAACTAAAAGTATATTTAAGCTAAAAAAAATAATGAGATAATAAAAATAGTACATCTTCAAAATAGCTTTGTTCAAGAATATGAATTCAAATTTATAAAATAGAGGTTTACTTACCATCAACATTTACTTATATATTATAAAAAAATACTATAAAATTATTTAATGAAGTATTAAATCAAGATTTAAGACAAGGTAATTAGAAAAATTCTTACAGCTTTATTTGTAAAATATTAATTTTTGATATCTTCAAATGTATTTGTCTTTGTAGTTATCTCTAAATAATAATCATATTTCCTATATGTACAACTAATCTATGAGTTAGGTATAATACCTGTCTATTACTATATCTAATCAAATCATTAGATATATAACCGTAAAGACAGATTTATTACAATTAATATTATCTATTTTAAGTGTCAAATGAAAATAAAAAATAAAAATGAGTACAACGTTTTCCTATTTATATCTTCTTTCTCTTATTGATAGTTTATGTAATTAATCTAATAAGAGTTTACTTTTCCAGTAAATATAAGGCAAAACCCAAGATCTAGCAATATTAGGACACATGGAAGATCCTACAAGGTATTCGGGTAAGCTCACCCTTAGGGTGGTACTAACATGTGTCATGGCAACCACTGGTGGCCTAATTTTTGGTTATGATCATGGAGTTTCAGGTATTTAATCCAATGTTATTGTATTTAGACATTAAATGTTCTTGCTTTGCTTTTAATGTCTTTTTAGTTACCATTTTGCACCTTATTTGCATGCAAATTGTATTTATGAATTCAACACTTGTTTGATGATGGCATTTCTAAAATGCACGATTTTGATTGTCATTATTTCCCTCAAATTGATACTTTTTTCTTCTTCAAAATAATGGAAAGGATTTTTTGAGCTATGTTTCATGTGACTAATGAAGTTTGTGATATGGGATTTTATGTATCATAGGTGGAGTGACCTCCATGGATTCTTTCTTGAAGAAATTCTTTCCATCTGTCTATGAACAAGAGTCTACCATGAAACATTCTTCAAACCAATATTGCAAATTCAACAGTCAAATATTGACTTTATTCACTTCATCTTTGTACTTAACTGCTCTTGTGGCTGGTCTAGGAGCATCCAGCATAACCCGATTGATGGGGAGGCGTGCAACTATGATTATAGGTGGAATATTCTTTGTAGGAGGTGCATTGCTAAATGGATTAGCTATATCCCTATGGATGCTTATTGTTGGGAGAATGTTGCTTGGTTTTGGCATTGGATGTGCTAATCAGGTAGTTAGATTAATTATTTTCTTCGCAATATTATGACTATTTTTTTATAGGATAAAATTAAAATTATTAAGTGGTCTAAGATCATCATAGTCTCCACTAATCTTTAAATGACACATAATGACCCAAGCTATCTAAAAATTGAAAAATGTAAATTGTGTACATCTCTCATAAAAATTGGTTGAGGTCGTGAACACATGTTCGTCAGAATTTATGGTCTTAAACTAACTTTTGCGTATTTTATTTAACTGCGTTGCATATTTGAATTATAGTCGGTACCAATCTATGTCTCGGAGATGGCCCCTTATAACTATAGAGGAGCTCTCAACATGTGCTTCCAATTGTCAATCACCATAGGCATCTTCATAGCAAATCTCTTCAACTACTACTTCGCTAACATACTTGATGGTCAAGGATGGCGTTTAAGCTTAGGGCTTGGAGCAGTCCCTGCTTTCATTTTTGTCACAGGCTCAATTTGTCTTCCTGACTCACCAGCCTCCCTCGTTGAGCGTGGATGTATCGAGGAAGCAAGGAAAGAACTCCAGAAAATTCGTGGCACAACTAAAGTTGATGCAGAGTTCAATGATATAATTGCTGCTAGTGAGAACTCAAAAAAAGTGACACACCCTTGGAAAACCTTGAGGGAACGAAAGTATAGGCCTCAACTCATTTTTGCCATATGCATACCCTTCTTCCAACAATTCACTGGCCTAAATGTCATCACATTCTATGCTCCTATATTGTTCAGAACAATTGGGTTTGGAAGCACGGCTTCTCTAATGTCTGCGGTTATCATTGGTAGCTTTAAACCAATTTCAACCCTGATTTCAATTCTTGTTGTAGATAAGTTTGGAAGGCGTAGCCTTTTCCTTGCAGGTGGTGCTCAAATGTTGATTTGTCAGGTACAACCTATTAATGTTTCATATCATTGGTGTTATTTACTATTGTCCCTAACATGTTTGTTTTGTTCATAGATTATTATGACAATCGCAATTGCTGTGGCATTTGGCACTAGTGGAAACCCTGGAAAATTGCCAAATTGGTATGCAATTGTAGTAGTTGGTGTCATATGTGTATATGTTTCTGGTTATGCTTGGTCTTGGGGTCCACTAGGATGGTTGGTACCTAGTGAAATTTTTCCCCTCGAGGTTAGATCGGCAGCTCAGAGTGTTGTTGTTTCTGTTAACATGATCAGTACTTTTGTGGTAGCTCAATTCTTCACCTCGATGCTTTGTCACATGAAGTTTGGTTTGTTCATCTTCTTTGGTGGTTTTGTGGTGATCATGACCTTATTTATCTACAAATTATTGCCTGAAACAAAAGGTGTTCCAATTGAGGAAATGGCTATAGTGTGGCAAGAACATCCCATCTGGAGCAAATTTTTGGATTCAAACAAAAACATCCCAGTTTGCAATAAGGATTCTAAATGTTGATTTGATGAGTATTTTTTGGAATTAAAAATTTATCAGTCTTGGCCTGCATTTCCAATTCAAGTTGTGAGTGTAAAAACCAATGAACAATCAACTCTCGTTTGTAAAGAGTTTCATCAACTATTGATTCAATGCAAATATAAGTTCTTTTTATGCCAATTGATTTTTTTTTATTCTTAAATTTGTTTTTCTTTCCATTTTTAATTACAAAGGTTATTATGATATGTTTGGATCAAATTGTATATAAATAAGATTTAAATTATTTACAATTAAAGATATAAAAATAATAATATAAGATTATTAATATTTTCATACTATTAGAATAAATTATAAGATTATATATTTTATAAAAAAATTAGTTAGTTTTTCTATATTATAAATAAAATTATTATATCTATAGCTAGGGATGGGAATACTGGTCAAACTTTGAATATATAAATTGAGTATGTTTGGCAAAGTTAAAGCCTAAGCCTAATCTATTATTTATCATAAATTTTTTTATATAAGTTTGGCATGACCTATTAGCCTATGTAAAAGCCTTTCTAAATTTTTAATGTTAATTAGGTTACTAAACTTAATTTTTTAATAATCAACAAAATTATTTTTAAAATATAGTTTACTCAATATTATTAAAATTTAAATTTTAAAAGAAAAATAGGAGAAAAATTGAATCATTTTTTATTGGAAGAATATTCACATGTAACCATGTATATTGATGTACTCATGCATAGCTCGTAAACTTATAAACTTATAATGAAAAAAAAATAATTGTATAAAAAATATTTTGAATATTGATAATTTTTTGTTTTATAAATTTATTTGTTTATTTATGTTTTTAATACACACACAGATATATATATATATATATATATATATATATATAAATTTTTTATTATATTATATAAATAAATAGGTTGATTTATTAGTCTTAAGAGACTTTTCTATAAGTTTAAGCCTAACCTTTTTACATAAATAAATTTTTTTTAAAAGTCTAAGCTTGGATTTTTTTTTATTAAACAAGTTAGGTCAGACCAAGTTTTGAAGAGGCCAAATCATAAATCTGTATTTGAAGTCTACCTATTTTTATCCATATCTATAACTATACACATTCTATATACTTTGGACCGACACATTACACTAGTACAGAAAGGGTCTTTTACGTCGTGTATTT